GACATTTTATCCAAAAAAGTCGTTAAACAATTAATGATATTTTAGTAAACTTTCACTAAATTTAACAATGTTTATCTCAAAAATGCTATTAAATTGAAGACGTTTTTCTTTAAAATACCATTATATTTTTTGATATAAATATAGTCGATACTCTAAATAACGTTTTTAACAAATGTCATGAATCTTTAGCAGCATTTATAAATGCCATAAAATGTGAAAAAAAAAATATTGCTAAAGACGTATTCTACTATAATGTGGTATTATTGTGGATCCTACCTATACTTTAGCTGCTTGGGAAATGGCAACACGAATTACCAGTGCTCATGACGATGCCAATGTGGTGATGCATGCTTCCCACCGACGGTACACTTGGCATGTTCGAATTAGCACAGAGGTACAATCATACTTCAGTTGCTCAACGGTGTAACAATAAGTTAATTTTGCATGTTATTAATTCCAGTTGATCTATTTTCTCCATAAGAGTTTCATGTTAGGTTTTGTTTGATAAGGAAAGATTGAAAAAAAGTGAGAATGAAAATTATATTAATTTAATATTTAAAATTTTTCATAATAACTTTTCTATTTTATAGCTTAATCATCATATTAACAAAATTTTTATTTTCACCTCTTTCCATTTTGTTAACCAAGCAAAACCTAATAAAAACGGGGGAAAGAGGTAAAAAGAAGGGTTTATATCAAATGGAGGTTTAAATGTCGAAGTTTTTGTATAACTTCTGCTGAAGCCAATTACAGCAGTCTGTCTGGTGTCCAAAACTGGAGTCATAGCTCTGTGTAATAGTTTCAGAAAACTGACATATATAATATGACTAGGATGGCCATTCACTGTGCACATGAAGATCTTAAATTTTGGGTTTGAATGACAGGAGTTTAATGCTGTGGGAGCCTTAAAATTATAGAGTGAATGCTCATTTCTTTCGTACTATAGACTACAGTTGAAGCTTTGAATTCACTGAAGCAGGAACCGTCCTCCACTCTCATCTCATGCATACTGCTTTCACTAGTGATCCCTCCCGCCACCGCACCTCCCCTCTTTATATATATATATATATATAAAGGTGGATTTGCCATGGTTGAAATGGCTTTAGTTTTTCATGAAAGTAAGATTGCACTGCAAGCATATCTCAGGAATGTAAGTTAATGGGATTATTGGAGCCCAAATGCCTAAATTTCTGATAGGAGAGGACATAAAGCTGCATTACTATAAAGCTACTAGGGCCCTGCCCCGCTAAGTACCACTACCTAAAGGTCATAGATCTTTCACAACAACAAACAATTAATGGTTAAGGCCACTCTCCCTCGTCACGCTTATACAATGCTACATCACCCTGTACTTATCAACATGGTTCACATGCCGAAGAGAAAAAAAAAAAAAAAGAAAATTTATCTATCATATTTATTTTATGTAAAATATATAAAATATAAAAATATTATCATATTTTATATCAATACAATAAAATAAAATAAATTTTTTTATCAAAATTTTAAATTTTGGAATTTTTATATTTTTTATATTATTTTTATGTCGAATTTAAAATTACAATTTGACATGTTAGTATAAGTCACCCCAACCTATTTATAACTTGGTACTGCAGGAAACTGAATTTTCCACCCTCTACTAGAATGTTGCCCTCCGTCCTGCTATAAAATTTATTGGAGCAATTGTTCTGTTATTCATTTGATACAGTTATTACAATGGGAATCTTTATACTCTTCAGCAAAATGACACAAACAGCAGCAATTACAGCAAATATTTACTTTGCATGTTTGCTGTGGGGTTTTTTTTTTTTTTTCTTTTGTGAGAGGGTCGTTAAAGGGGAGGAATTTGATGCAATATGAAACTTTGGGCTGTTAGATAAAAGAACGAGGTAGAGGAATGACTAATGAGGAAGCACAATGGTGAATGATTGACAGAATCCATTAAATCGAAATACGAGTTTCTGAAACCATCTCTTTATGCATATTTTGACTCATTGTGCTCCAAAATGGCCATATAACTATTACAAGTACTTTACTAGCTTTTATTTCTCAATATCCTCTCTCTCTCTCTCTCTCCTCCGACTGTAACTATGGGGAGAAGAGAAGCCAAATTCAATAATCAAAAGTTGAGCTGCTTCATTCATTTATTTTTTCCTGTCATAATATTATAATCCAACAACATTCTTGATCACAGCGTTTTAATTGAAAAGTGGTTACTGCATGATATATAATTGCAGTTTGTGCCATATCTTAAAATTTAGAATCAAAACCAAACTCAATTCAAAATGGGTAATCAACCATTTGCTCCAAGCAAAGCAATTACAATTCAAGTGGTCATGGTAACACAACACGATTACAATAAACTCTTTATTATGCACAGGCAATCCAAGGTTTTAGTTGGAGGGCAAAGGCAAGGCAAGGTCTCCATTGCCGATGCCAATATAGACAGCAATACAGCATGCATGGTGAAGGTAAGTTTTGGATTGAAGTTTTTTTTTTTTTCAGTTGTCAATTAATTTATTTATTTTATTAACAAAAATATATTCAAAAATTTTTTCTTTAAATTTTTTTCGGAAAGTGGATTTTAACACATCTAATTAGGCCATCCATGTTAAGAACAAGAAGGGTAGGCAAGATTCCTGGTAACAAGGGGGACCAGATAAGGAAGGTCCATTAATGGTCCCCTTGTCTACTCTGAAATTATATCTAAATATAATCCTTTCACGTTCACTTCCATTCTATTCCTATGTACATACATTTATACAGGCAGTTCTATTCCTATATTCGACTTAAACCTTATCCAATCAAACTCAACTTCCGCAGACAGTTCATTTCCAGCTTTGATTTGTTTTCAAGAGAGTGCCCAATTTTCATTTTCTTTGAATCTTTTTAACTTTATTCTACATTCAATATGAACTTACATTAACTCAAATGTGAAAAGTCAATAATTTTGGTTTGGTTTAGCAATTTTCATCATTCTAATTTTTAAAAGTCATAGTAATAATCTTTTATTATTATTACTAATATAACAAATATATATAACAAGCCTTTTATATGTATAAATTATTTAATTCATTATCAATGAAAATTTTTTAATTTTATAAATAAAATTAATAAGGTAACATATACTCTTAAAATATAGAATATAATCTCCATGAAAAAAAAAAAAAGTTGGGATGAAACATCCCTTTCACTTGCTTTTTATGCTCTTAAAAAGGGGTCCCTTTACTTCCCTTTTACATACTACACCTATTGACCCATGAACTCGTTTGGTAACAATGGGGAACCTGCCCAATTCAAAGCTACTAAGCTACCCCATTAATTTATTAACTTAACTTAGCCAATGCCAATGTCCCAAGCTCTTATTCCACTACTTACATTTCTTGTGCATGCATTTAAAAAATATATTATTTTTATGACGAGATTTTTAATATATATTGGAGATGATGAAGAAGATTCATATTTAATTTTATAAACGTCGAAAAATAAGCACCAATACGCAAACTTGATTATTGATTGTCTGATGTGAACGAAAAAATTATAAGTAAAAAAATTTTTAAAAATTCTTAAACAGAAAATCAATGATCATTTAAAATTTTCATATTTTATGATAATTAATTAAGTTATAAATTTTTTATTTCAAATCAGTTGAACCCTTAAATATTTAATTGAACTCTGGATTGGACTAAAATAGATATTGGTAGCTAAACAATTTTCGTCTAATAAGAGTTCAATTGAAAAAATAAATATTTAAGAGTTCAATTAATTGTAATAAAATTATAAAAATTTTAATGACTATTACATTTAAATTTTTATTCAAGAGTTTTTTTTTGCCTTTTTATCAAAATTATATCAATAAGTGTTTTCTTTAAATCTTATTGACAAACAAACAATTTCGATATCGATCATGAATATATCAAAAAATAAAAGAACCAATGGCGTATATATGATTTCATAAACGAGCAACATTCGAACATTGGCAAATACATGGGATATTTGAATATGATTAAGTGGTTGTAGAGAACAAAGATAGCGCTGAAGAGACAAGAGAGGACGTGGAAGGGGAGACAAGAGCATGCAAAGTAACAAAAGACAATTAAAATAAAAGAATTAAGGTTGGCATTGGAAATCTCATGTCGAATTATGGAATCAAAGCCAAACAAACACCCTTTTTTATTGTACACATTAATTCAAGGACTTCGAAAGCATAGCCTGCTTCCATTAATTCATGATCATCATGAAGCCAATGGATGCCATTTTTGTCCAACACTAATTTGATCGTTATAATTTGATTTAATTAAATATTTGGTACTTGGATTTTTATAAAAAAATATAATTTTTTAATTTTATATTATATATAATGCTAATTCAAATTTTAACTCTGTTATAATTAAACTAACATTATTTTATTAATATTAGCAAATTATGTATATTGTTACACGAAACTATTAACATATTTTTCAAATCTAATTAAAAAAGTATACTTTTCTCATTTAGATGATAAAAATGTTGTCCAAAATCAACCGATTGTGGGATGTTATGTAGCAATCACATAATATTCATGTTTACAATATATTTAACATTAATTTTATGTAACACATGACATGCATATAATTTAATTATATTAATGTTTTTTGTTACACATAATTATACTGATTGAATGTTATATAAGCAAGATAGAACAATAGTATCAAATTTTAGATTAATTTAATATATTATTTAAAAATTCGAGATATAATTGATTCATTTTTCACTTGCCAATTTTTATATTTAGCCAAAATTCATGTAATTAACTTTTTAAAATTTCCTATTTAAGATAAATAAAAATTCAAAATTTACACGGAGCATTTAATTTAACATATATAAATGCATATATTGCATGCTCAAAAAATTGAAAATTGAATTCAATTTTTTAAAATTAAAAAAAAAAAAAAAAAACTCACAGAAATTATTTGAATTGAGACCTGGAGGCGCCTTGTGCTTCCTTAAAAAATGAAGGTTATGGATAATCTGCGCTAAATGCGATAAATAAAGACGAGTAGTCAAAATACCAGCATCAAAAGTACCATGCAGCAAGAAGGGCAATTATTTCCCTCCCGTCCAGTTTTTGACAACGCACACACATTCGTGCTTTTCGCCAAGTGTACGGCCCACATTCTTTATCACCCCAAATCACAAGGAGGATTAGAGAAAGAGAGAACCAGAAAAGGGCTTCATTGTAAATTCAGCGTTAGCAACCTTTGTCCTGGGAAGAAAGAACAAGAAAAAAAACACCAACACGCTCTAATTCTATCCTTTTACACTGCGACTTTGAACTTCGAAGACTTTTGGGAAGTAGAAAACAACAAAACAAACAAAGAAATTTGTTTACTCGGTTTTTTAACTTCCCTCAACAAAACAGCTTCCTTATAAATAAATTTTCAGGTTCTTTTTATCAAGCCGAAGAAGAGGTTTTTTTTTTGGCTACTGATTCTCACTTCTCAGCCCCTGAAACAGCCATGGGGGAAACCGGTCCAGTCCGGTTCCCTGGAAACCTAGACCCGTCAGCGCAAGAATTTTGGCCTGCCAAAAACCCTGTCTGCCATCCCCAAATTCCTTTATTCAGATCACCCCAGCTTTACTACCCGTACGCTGCAGCCCCCCCAACGGTGCCGTTTTGTGATAGCGCCGTAGCACAGTTCCATGCTGCCATACCAGTACCTGCACCTGCACCAACGGCGTACGTTACAGCTCCCATGGTGGTTGCACAGCAGCCACCACTGCCGCCTCCGACGACGGCGGTGACGAGGACTTTAGTGTTGACTTTGGTTCCATGCGACGTCAGTGAGTCTAAGGTGAGGAAAGAATTGGAAGTGTTCGGGGAAGTACGTGGGGTCCAGATGGAAAGAGTCCGAGAAGGAATCGTGACCGTTCATTTCTACGACCTGAGACATGCGGAGAGAGCTTTGAAGGAAATACGAGAGCAGCACATGCAACAACAAACCAGGGTTCGGAACCAGCATGTTGCAGCTGCTGCCGGATGTGAACCAGGAGATATCAACGCCTGTGCTCCACTGCCTCCTCCTGGGCCTGGACTCATAGCGGGGAGAGCTGTTTGGGCCCACTTCATTATTCCGGCAAGCAATGCTGTTCCTGACGGGAATAATCAAGGAACTGTTGTGGTTTTCAATTTAGACTCCGGCGTTTCTACTTTTAAACTTAAAGACATTTTCCAAGCTTATGGTAAGTTTTGGTTTCTCTACTTTTTCCCTTTTTCCTGTTTGAAAAAGAGAGTTGAAAAAGGGTGTATTCTTTGGTTTTTTGTTGTTCAATCTGATGAGTCTCTATCTTTTTTTAGTTTGTCCTCTTTGCCTGCTGAAGTTAGTGGTGTCTTTCACTACAAAAAAGGAGGAACAGCTTTTTTCATATTTATGGATATGATTTCATTTCATCTTTTCTTTAATTTTGTTATTTATTTTTTTATAACTTTGTTGTTAGGCCCCGTGAAGGAACTAAGAGAAACACCATTGAAGAAACACCAAAAGTTCGTGGAGTTTTATGATGTAAGAGATGCGGCCAAGGCTTTAAGAGGAATGAATGGAAAAGAAATTAATGGGAAGCAAATTGTAATTGAATTCAGTCGACCCGGAGGATATAGCAGAAAGTTCTTCAATGCTAACACATTCACAGCTTGCACTGATAATATGTCATTGACGACCAATAAATATAATTACCATACAAGAAATTCAAATTACCCATCTTCTCCCCCGCATCCGCCGCCGCCGCCGCCTCCCCCGCCTCCCCCGCCTTCATTGGCTCGCAAATTCTCTGGTAGATTTTCTTCCAACATCCCTCCTCGTTCTTTTATTTCTCGAAGCCTATCACCTACGAAGAAAGTGAGTAATTCTAGTAAAGGAAACCCTAATGGGAATAGAAACAGTAAGAGTTCGGTTGAAGAGAAGGTTGGTGGTGGAGGTACGAAGAAGAATGCCAAGGAGAACCAAATAAACAACCAATCATCAGTGAGCAGTAGCAATGGGAGTAAGCAGCAGCAATGTAGGGGCAGGCCATGGAAAGGTAGACAAACGAAGAAGTTTGATCCTCGTTTCCTCATAAGTGAAGATGCCATGGTGGAATCTAATTGTGAAGATTCCAGGACCACTGTCATGATCAAGAACATACCCAACAAGTATAGGTTAGCCTTTTTTTTAACTAACTACTAGTACTTAAATAGAAAATATAATAATTGCACTTTTGGTTTCTTGTTGAAAATGCGTTTGAATTTGGCATGTTGCAGTCAGAAATTGTTGTTGAACATGCTGGACAATCACTGTATTCACTGCAACGAGCAAATTTCTGAGGGGGATGATCAGCCCTTATCTTCTTATGATTTTGTGTACCTCCCCATCGATTTTAAGTAATTTTCTTTTCCGTCCCATTTCTTTTCTCATTTTTTTATGTAGAATTAATAGAGATATACTAATTCATGAAAAATAAAATAAAATTGAAGATTATTGTATAATTCATTAACATTTTTTTTTGCTTTTGAATTTTTACTATTTTATTTTAAAAAATCAGCAACAAATGTAATGTGGGATATGGATTTGTGAACATGACATCTCCACAAGCGACATGGAGACTTTACAAGGCTTTCCATCATCAACATTGGGAAGTTTTCAACTCCAGAAAAATCTGTGAAGTCACTTATGCCAGAGTTCAGGTGTTTTTCTTTTGTTGGATAAAAAACTATAAGCTTTATTCTTCATACGGGTCTGATTTTATTTCAATATATTTTTGTTAACTGATTAAAAATAGGGGCTGGAACCGTTGAAAGAACATTTTAGAAACTCAAAATTCCCATGCGAAATGGATCACTATCTTCCAGTAGTTTTCTTGCCACCTCGTGACGGGAAACAGCTGACTGAGCCACTTCCTATTGTTGGTCAAAAGCAGCAGCCCATCATCAGTGGTCCCTCAGGCAAAGCCAATGAAGAAGAAGATGATGACAATGATCATAGTGTTGTTGAGGGTTGTAATGAAAATCTGCGTGGCGATGGTGGTAGTGTAAATTCAGATCAAGAAAATAGTGCTAACAACACCAATCATTTCACTTACTGTGATTCTGATGATACCGTTGACTAGCACGAGGAAGCCCTCATTTACGGCAGCAGCCAAGGGCCAACGGCCAACGGCGGCGATGTTGGTAATTGATTAAATAAAGAAAACAAAGAAAGGATTGTATCTGTTGTGGCCTTGAACAGTGAACCCCTGAACAAACCCTAAAGCAAATTTTATCTGTGATTTTTACTACTACTACATGGACAGTCATGAAGATGTGAATGAATACAATATAATCTTTGTTTACTGCAACCAAGGCAGCGTCCATTCACAGCTGTTTATGCTGTTAAAACCTGGCTGCACTAACCAATGCCCAATCAGGAGCTTGTTGAGCATCGAGCCTCTCTTATATAGCTGCCCAGCCCACCGCCAGCCTAAGGCTTTCTGTCTCTCTTTTTTTCTCTTTCAGGTAATAGCTTGGGCTTACCACCATCACCCCCATTTACTTAGAACCTCATCACCTCTTTCTCTCTCTTTCCTGTTGCTCTCTTAATGGATCTTAATTACCATGATAAAGAAATGTAGCCTAAATGTTTTATTCTTTTTCTTTTTTTGGGCCAAGAATGTTGTTATTTTAACTTTTGTACTCGTAGTTTGAAAAGAATTTGATTTTGGATTTTTCTCTTTTTTTTTTTTTTTAATGAAAAGGATGTGTACAATGAAGAACCAGAAGCATCTCTCTCTATGGAACTAATATGTTTTATTAGCAATGGATAAAGCAGAAGGGTTCTACCGTTGTTTTTGAAAGGTTGGGGTGGGCAGATGGCTGTACATCACTGACCCCTACTGTTGCTGTTACTTTTGCAGTTCTTTGTCATTTTTCGCTTGTAGCCTAGCGCACTATACCCTTTAATTCATTTTCAGCATTTTGGGTTTGTTTTATATAAAAATTACTTGTGTTGACAAAAAATAAAAAGAAATATAATTTTTTTTTTAGGTAATATGAAATATATACTTTAAAAGTTAGCATTGATAGACTGTTGACATCTCATTTTATTTGAAGTTTAAAATTTATTTTATTTATAGTTTATTTATTTTTTATTTTAATTATTTTTTATTTAATTTTTTAGTTTAATAAAAAATATTTTGTCATGAGAAAAATGAGTGTTATTAGAATTAAAGTTGGATTGAATCTGTAGAAAATAAATTTTAATTTCTTGATGATACAAAAGTTTGATAAGAATAAAATTATAGTCAATCAAAAGCTCTTTTAAGTGTTTCTACAAATAAACATAAAAATCAATATAGAAAAACATGTTTGGGAAATTGAAAAAAAGTAAAAAAAAGTGAAAATTTTTTGAAAGGAAAACAAAGTCTTGTCAAAAATTTTTGGGAGGCTTTCGTGCAACTCAAGATTTGACTAGGTTGAAAGGTGGTTTAAGAGTCAGAGTTAACATTTTTTTTTAATTTATTTTTTTATAATTTTTAAAAATTTTTAAAATTTCTAGAATTTCTTTAAAGATTCTTGTAAAAAATTCAAGTTTTACAACAAAAATCCCAACTTTCAACATTGAAATTCCAAAACCTAGCGATCAAGTCTAGGTTTCAGTAGAACTCTTGATGAAAATTTTCAAATTTCGACACCATTTTTTAGAATCTAATGAAACTTTAACTTAAATCCATCTCCGTTTTTAGAGAGAGAACAGAGGAAAAAAGGAAATGAGAAAACAGGTTGGGAAAATTTTAAGGAAAAAGAGAAAACTTGGATTTTTATATTATAAAAAAATGATGTCATTTTGAGTTTTAGTTCCCCTAAGGATCCGCATGTTTTCATTTACATTGACCTGATCTAAGTACCTTGACCCGCGAACTCGACAAGCAAACTGATTTTTAGCCTCTTTAGCTTCAACTAAGTCAAACCAATATGTGAACCGTCGAGCCGCCTTTCCTTCCTATAGCCATGCACCACACTAGCCAAGCCGGGTTGATTCTTATTTTAGTATTTGTCTTTTATTTATTTTTAATTTTTGTTTGATGCTATTATTTTATTTTATTCATTTATTTATTTTAAAGTATTCTGCATGATTAATTTTTAGGAATATTAGAGAAGAACATTATAAAATAAAAATAAAAAATATAATAAAAATACATAAACAAGTTTAATAAAATTTTGGGAATGAATTAAAAATTATTCAATGATGAAATTCTTAAAAATTTCAAATAGTAAATTTTTTATAAAATTTCTAGGTGAGAAATTCTCTAAATTTGACCAAAACGATGAATTATTTATATGAAATTTTAATGAAAGAAATTGTATTCTTTTTCAAATTAAAAATAATAATTAACAAAAGTTTGTGTGAAAATATTTGATAATTGTCCACGGATGAATCTCAAGAAAAATCACTAATGGTTGAATTTTTATGAGATTTTCAGGTGAAGGTTTTTTTCCCTAAATTAGGCCCAAATTGTGAAAAACTTAGAAATAAAACTTATAAAATAAAAAATAAATTTCAAAAATGAAATTCTTAATAATTGCAAATGGATTATTATATAAGATATTTTTAAGGGAGAAAATATTTCTAATTTTGCCCAAATAGTGGAAGGATTAGATATATTTTCAATAAAATAAAATTTTAACAACAAAAAATAAATGATTAAGTTTTTTCGATGATAGAGCATTTTCAAGAAAATAAATGAGATTCTTAAATATTCTCATGTGATAAAGTATTTTTAAGAATTTTATCAAATTGATGAAGTCTTAAAAATTATTCCCAATATTAATAAAGACCATTAGAACTAAGATGATTGCTACGATAATTTAAAATTAAATGGTACTATCTTAGTATGGGCGTTGTGGGGGTGCTATAACCTTCCATACACATAATTGAACTCTCGAACCTGGTTCTATTCAAAAAATCAAAACCTATTCTTTAAGGATCTTTAGTCAAGCTTAGGAGCTACTTAAAAAGATGGATTCATTAAATGGCCAATCACCCTAGATAAAATATTAGTGTTGACTCCTTAGGTTATGTCTAGCTATAAATTTACTGATCTATACGTTATGATAGTTTGACAACTCTACTAGAAATTTCGAATGTCAAGCCATTAATTAATTTGAATTATCCTCAATTTTAGTTTGCTTGGTCTTAAATTATTCATCATTTTTGTTTGCATTTATATTTATTGTTTTTTATTTTTTGACTTGGCTTGTGAAAATTATGAATAAAGATATATATTCTTTCACACACATTATCACATATATCATATGAGCTCTATACTCGAGCTTTGTCCTATTTAGGATAAAGTAAAGTACCTACGCTCTCGTGATATAATAATCTTCATAATGGCTAGTAAAATACTTTCACTTAAATTGAATTCTTTCAGTGTATAGCCTATGATGGACAAAGATTAGAGTGTCTTACTAGTCTATGATGGATAATGATGTGAGAACAATTTGAGAACCTTTAGATTTAAGCCAAACCACATCTAGTAAAACATAAGAAGCTAACCTTAGGTTAGAGTTATATCTACCTATAATTAGAATGTAACCTTAGTTAGAACATATGAGTGGACCTTTTAAGTTTCATTCATATCACTTTCATGACAAATGTTATTTAATCTTTATTTATTGTTAAATTGTTATATGTTGTATGTTTTATCCTTAATCCAACATCACTACATATAATGTATTCATCCATGCATCATAATGTGACACGTTAGTACATGCATTCATACATTATTTAGGTATTCATTCATGTATGCATATAGGATTCTTTAAAAAATTAAGTTAAAAAGCTTTTTCGCATACACATTTAGTAACATAAGCATGCTAATTATGGTACAAGATTCAAAGATAGCTCCATCGTTTAATAACCCAGTTCAACCCATTAACTATCAATATAACACCAGAGCTCGAGCCGAGCAAATGAAACAAAAAAATGTAAATCATATGAAAAAAATAGAAAAGGCCTAAGAAAAACTTAAGGGGGAGTTAAGTAAAATTTTAAAAGCCTTAAACAAAAAGAAAATCATAGAAGAACATGCCAGCCTATAAAAACATTTATCACATGATGTTGTTGATATTCTTTATCCTCTTAGTTATAGGTCACATCAAGCCCAATCCACACAAGATGCACCACCACAATAGATCACATACCTTTTAAGATATACCTACCATTAAATGTCTTTCGTGTTAATTCAGAGGCATTTTCAAAGTTATGTTAATCATGTCTTTACAAAAAAGGTAAAAAAATCAATTTAAGTCCCTAACTTGGATAATTTGAAAGAGAAAGAGAAGTTGAGGCCAAAAGTGATTGAGACTATAAAAGGTTTAAAAGTTGAACAGAAGATGAACTTGTTGGATTAGAGATTACGAGCAATTGAAAAGATGAATTTTTATAACTCAATGGATGCAAGCGACCTTTGCTTAGTTCCAGATATAATGATCCTACCAAAATTCAAGGTCCTAGAGTTTGAGAAATATAATAGAACAAAATGTTCAATAACTCATGTTACCATGTACTATAAAAAAATGGCTACTTACATAAGTAATAAGGAACTATCAATGCATGTATTCCAAAATAACATTACTAGTTCCAATACTAGATGGTATGTTTAATTTGATAGAACTTGTATTATCTAATGAAAGAAATTGACAAAGGCATTCATCACTTAATACCGACACATTATAGACTTAGCTCTAGATTACCACTTTTTGCAAAGTATAAAGAAGAAAGTCACAGAATCTTTTAAAGAATATGCCCAAAGGTGAAGAGATATGATTGTTCAAGTTTAATCACCTCTAACTTAAAAAAAAAACCATTATATTGTTCATCAATACCTAAAAGGCACCTTACTATGAGAATATGATAGGAAATACCACTAAGAACTTTGTTTGTTGACCTTGAATTGATCCTTATTTTAAAATGACAAAACATTAAAGCTAAATAAACTTGATCAAGATTTTGAAAAAGATTTATTTAGTACATGTTCTTAAGTTTTATATTTTGGTACTAAATAAATAATATGATTTTCAAAGCTTAAACAAACCTTTCTTTGTTTTCATATTTCTCAAACCAAATCTATCTTTAAAGATTATTTATTTGAGCTTAAATGAAAGTTCAATTGTTGTTTTTAAAGTGAACTTATTCATTTTGGACTTAATACAATTTTAATAATATTGATTTTGATAAATATATTAACTTAAGAAAGCTGTTTTACAAGAATAAAGTTTTCCAACATTAAACTTGTTTTATGTTTCTATATTAATTCACAATGTTTTAATATTTGAATTTTATATGGTTGGAAAGCTCTTTGAGTCTAATTTCTAATGGATTAAACAAAATTTAAATTTAAATTTTCTAAGAAAATATTTTAAATTTTTACTAGACACTCTGCAGTTGTCAGAAAAACTACACAAAGGGTAACTTTAAAAATTCACTATAATTTGTATTCAATGAATTAGGTGATGAATTTTATATAGATAGAAAGCCCTTTAAGTACAGTTTCTAAATCTTTAAATGGTTTGTGATTTGAATTTATATAACACAAGATATAATTAAATTAGTGAGTAGAGTATAAAACATGAGATAACCACCCAGCCACTGAGAAGATTGATCCCTTCATGG